AAAATTGTATTTTACGTAATAAATGGGGGGGGGGAACTGTATAACAAATACAGGTAAGCAAATCCCAAAGTTCCTTCATTTCTTGGGAGAAAACTTTGATTTCAGTAGCTGCCAGCCTGCATAAACCCACGTGGTAACACACTGTTCTAAAAGCAGATTTCTTTATGAAACTATAGTACCAGATCTGAGAAATAAAGATGGTTGTGTATATGTTCAGACACTATAGCAACAAGCACCTCAAATTGGACAGAATAGCTCTATTACCAAGTTAGCACAAATTAAATAAAACATCTGCCTATTTTGAGTTTTTAGCTACTGAATTGAGTCATGTATGTAATATATTCATTCACACACCACTATAAGAATGGAAATTATTTTATTCCCTTTTTACTTGATATGAGGCATGCAAAAGCTAAGTAACCTGCCCAAGGTCACAGATAATCTCTTGCTCTCCCCTCCCTGTATCTCACAATACCTGAAATGGACCTCTGCTGCAGATAGCAGCATCCCTTCTACTCCTCCTACTCTCTGACAGTGGGACAGTCAGTTCTCTGAGGGATTGAAACTTAGCTCAAAACTTGGCTCAATACAAGGACATGTGGGTGCTGTAATCTCTGAGTCACATACATGAGCTAATCATGCCTTTTGCCCTGGCACTTTTAGAAACTATGAGCTGAAGACACTAACAGTCTGGAAGCATTGCATCTTGACTGCCCAGTCCTGGGCTTTGATTGCTGGCAATTAAACAATAGTGATTATAAATATATATATATATATATATAGGGAAAAGCAATGCTTTCACTATCACATGCAAGCATTAAATAAGACACATTTGCCTCTGCCTCCCTGCACAAATAATCTAGGTTGCAATTCTTTTTTACATTTATGAACAATCTTCTGAGATGACTGACAAAAGAAGTAACTGACATATAATGTGAATCTTTACGGTTAGCCATTCCAAGACATGCAGCTGAATAAAATTCTGCTCAGTCAGACATAAAATCAAATTAGAACAGCTCACTCTGAAGAGAAAGAACTACATTTGAAACAAATAAGGCAGTGCATAATTCACTTTTAATGGGATAAGTTCCTAAAACCACACTAATCACAATCCTAACAAGGTAATACATTCCACTGCGAGTTTACCACATCACTGCTCAGTACACAGCAGAGCTGCAGAGCTTCAGTCATGTGAGGGATTTGCCCCACATGCAAAGTGAGCAACTGATTTTTTGCAGTCAGGATTTGTTCAGCAGAGCACTCCTGTTTATTAATAATTATACCTTATGGCCTTACAATGTGTGTTGTTCATCCTACATGTGTTCACAAAGATTTTCACCCATCACTCAGATCCCTTGGTTAACACACAACATACTTCTCCACAATGCCCTGCAATATTCCTCAACAGTTTAGAAAAGAACCAAAAAATGCTCCATCTCACCTGCACAAATTCAGAAGGAAGGTAATAACTCAAACATGAGAGCTGGCTAACGCTGAAGTAACATTTCCTATGTGTTCCAAAAATGCCACTGGATTTTTATAGACCATAAGTATTCAAGACCTTGGGTTTGGATCTGATTTTTAGGACAGCCTTTTTCATCAGCACAGCAGCTCACAACTGTAAGAATGCCTGAGCTAAAGGAGAAAGTATGACCATCTGATCTGCAGCTACTCTTCAAAGTAGCATCTCGGGATGTCCACACTTACTTGGTGTACGAGAGCTGATAGCTTATAACACAAGATGCTGTACCTACAGGGCACCAATAAATCAAAGAAAAATAAGAAAAGAGTTAATAATTTCTATGACACATGATATCTTTTTACACCTTTATTAGAGTGTTCAACTATGAAAGTTGTTCTAGCAAAACCCACCATTCACCATGTTGCATATTCACTACCTCTCAGCACATCTGATCCAAAAAATGTGCTCTGATGACCAGCTAAGAGATGTTTTAGTATGAGATTTAGAGTCAAGCTGGGTTTTTTCCTGTACTGTCAGCAATCCAAATATTCTGACTCAAACATAGGGAATCATTATTTTAATCACATAGCACAGACTGTAGCTTGCTTCTACAGCTTCCTAATTTTTAAACAACTAACAGGTGAGAAATAATGAAAAAGCTAATAAAAAGGATATGATTAAATACACATCAAGAGCAGGAAAAGTAAGCAGATGCTTCTCTACCTGCATCTATATACTGTGATACTTACTTAGCAAAAATTTCCATTTATATATCCAGCTGAAACCTTGTTCCCTGCATAAACCAGCTTTTATTTAAAAGACCATTTACCAAAAAAAAAAAAAAAAGTAACAGTCAGAAGACAGAACTACAGTACATACAATACAAATAGAATTATTTTTCCCTTACACAAACATTATGGCTCTGTATGAGTATGCAGCAAGGTGAATACCCTACAAATCAAACTGCAGGTTGCTGACACCAGGCTCAACCATCTCCAGACATGGGTTATTGCTAACTCCAAAGATGTTTTTAATACACAATATTCAATCCACCAAGTTTTTTTGCACTCTATTTTATTGCTACACTTTGATGCAAGGGAGTTTGTCATATAATATGCACACACAGAAATCATGGACACAGACACTCACAAGCTTCCCCTTAAACAGGTATCCTATTTTCTAGCATGGTGGCCACACACATGTGAAAAAAGATTATGTATGGCAAGCAAGAGATTAAGACCACTTTAAAGCAGATACACACAACGGCTGTGCCCTGGTCACAGGGCAAGATGTGGATGGAGATAACCGGGAGTGAAGAGGTGTGACTTAGGCAAGCAAACACAACATGAGGAAAGCAGTAGCTCTCTGAATTAAGTTTGCATCCCTCAGCTCCTGCAGTCTCTGACTGTGAATGTGGGGGATCTAACACCAACCAGCGACTGGACAAGTCATCAGCAATTCCCCCATTTCTACAGATGAACAGCATCTGAACTGAACTGAGCTGACTTCCAGGAGAGACACATAAAAAGAAGATGTTGAATGCCTTTAAGCACGAGGAGACCTACCAGGATTTTTAAAAAGAGAGAAGAACTCACAAAGCAAAACAAATTATATTGAGGGGAAAAAATTAAAAATTCCAGAAATGGGAGCTAAATTGCTGCTGTTTCCCATAAATCTAAAGTTCAGTCAGCATCAAACCTTATGCTATCTTTTGAATAGGGACACACAGCTCATTGTTTCAGTGAGTAACAGGGTACCATTTCACAAAACAGGTATTATCCTTATACCAAGGAAAACCAGTTCAAAGAACAACAAATGACTTGTACGAGGTTATCCAGACACTTAGTAGAAACAGCTCAGCTAGTGCACTGAACTGTCGAGCCCTACGCCAGTGACCGATCCAGTAGGACATATAGCCCTCCAAGGAAATGAGCTGGGGGGTTTGCTGCATCTCTGGTTACCTCTCATTACCCAAACACTGCTAGGAAAGAGCCCTACATCAGTCATTGTGGAGGACTCAAACTGTGGAAAAACAGAAAAGAGCTCAGAAATGTGCATGGTAAATCCTTGAACACAATTTGGAGCATGATATTTTTGGCCTTTAATGCTGTCCCTTGGAGAGACTAACAATAATTTCAGCATTGTTGCACAGGAAATTGGTGCCTGAATTGAGGATGCAAAGGAACTCATTAACAATTCTAGCTATAATAATTCAATTTTATATAGCCAAACCCTGTCTCAAATCTCAGAAAATAATAAAAAAACATAGAGTCACCAAAGAAGGACTGTAGTATAGACAGAAAGATTGTATCAAAGGCTAATACAGCAATGTGGGCTCAAAAACCCAGTATTTCAAAGATTTTCTTGGGCAGGCAACTTAATACCTCTATTTCTCAGTTCTTCAGCTGAAAATAAGGATAATAGCAAAATAGGAACATACTAAGGATAAGGCAAGATACTCAATAGAGACTATGTAAAAATCTAACAGAATTGGGTTTGTCCTTGGGTAAAGCACAGTAAATTTGCAGCTATTTTTGCTACATTTTAAGATAACTATGTCACTGACAGCGTTTCAGTGCTATGAAACAAAGATCACATTTTTCCAAGCAAAGGCACAATACACCATACATTACCTTCAAAGGAAATTGCAGATCTATTTTTTCCTATGAAACAAAAAACAGAGACAAACCATGCCTTGATAACATCTGCTGAGCTTTTTCTCAAGACAGAGGGAGATTCAGGTCACATTCAACTCTACACGAGTGATACCCAACACAGGCATCAAGACTATTAGTGTATTTAAGACCAAGATTTTAAAATCATGTCTAGAGCTGGTAAACCATAGCTATTCCTACAGTCACCAGAGAGGAGGAGACAGATTTCCAGTTTTACACCTATAGTTAAAGCCAAAAGAATCCTTTTTTTTACATTTTATAGCAATGTTTGCAATACAGGAATACAGTCTCTCCTCCATCCTACAACATAAATCTTACTGGTATCATTGGGGTTAAGGGACAGTTAAAAAAGATAAGCTACCACAAAAATTATTTCTTGGCAAAGTTCAGCACAGAAACCCTGAAATCAAACAGGCCCAGACAGCAGCATATCTAAATCACACAAACTCTGTAGGATTTCTTCTGCCAAAAGCCAAGGTAAGCACAAATTGTATCAAACAGGGACTTTCCTTCATGGTCTGGTCATAAGAGTCTTGTTTAAGAGGATGAAAAAAAAGCCTTTCAAAAAGTCTAAGACTGACTTGAAGATGAATCTATGACATGAATAAACAAAAGCCAACCTTTAATTGTATTTTCCAGAGTTGTCCAGGTATCAGTAATCAGAATATAAAAACCAACTAATCAGATGCTGCTTGTTCTCTTTCAGCAAGTCAGTGCTGCCATCTATAGCTGTCTAAAGGGCATGCAAAAGAAATTCAAAGTCATGCATCTAAATAACATTCAGGAAGCATGTCAGTAAACAGAGAATGCAGGGTGAGTCAAATACGTTAATAAGATGCAACAAAATAATGATGCTGCAGTACCTGAAGGAGAAATTCTTTCTCTATCACTTCACTTGTCTTGCTTATAAGCCTCTTCTGTAGTCTCTGTACTTTCTGAATCAGCTCATAGGCAGTGGGGTCGCTGGCCTAGAAAAGAGCAAAGAACTCTCAAAAATTATACATGATAACAAGTTAGGGTTTCTTGTTTGCAAATGAAAATCATAATATCTAAGTGTTCAAAAGTAATAAATATAAAAGGGGAGGGGTGCAAGTGTTTGGGCTTTTTTTCAAATTGCATGCATACAAGCAGCCCTGAAACCTTATGTATCAATGTTAGCAGCAACTGGAACTGCCCACTGACAAATGAAGAGCAGTGCAAGTACTTTCCACTGTTTAAGAACCTCAACAGTTTCTTTGAACAAAAGAAAGAGTAACTGCAATATAGTCTCGAAACAGGTTGAGAAGTTAAGAGGAACAAATTTGTGGGGTACATTGATGAATTATGAGGCTCTAAAGTGTCCATACATGTGAAATCTCATTCTTCAATGGAATGAAGTGGAAAAAATGGTGACAGTGTATACACTTACTGCTGCCCTCTATCTACATAGCCCATAAAGACCAGGACCTAGTAGATGTCTGTCTCTCTGTCTCTTCTCATTCTTTTGTCACAGATTGATTCTGGAGGACGCTCTAAGGAGCAAAGTAGTAATTCTGTGAGGAGCAGCCAGCAAAGCTGGCTACTACTTCATATCTTCTTGTTGGATCTTTTACTGAAGGGCAAACTCTGATTGAAGCTTTTCCCCATTCAGGGATTCATAACACCTCTCTCCCATCTGGTTTCTCTGCTCTCATGTGGTGTCTCATAAGGATTAAACTCATACTGCAGTAAAGGCTTCAATAAAGTCCTGATCTCTATATATCTGCTTGAGCTTATAAGGAACTTGGTATCTCATTGCTCCTAATCTTTTGTCTGATTTTATCTAAATTGACTAATCAATTCAAGTGTAACTAGGACACTAACACAGATATGCACACAGCACTCAAAACACAACATCACTTCCTGAGAAACAAGGCTAAAAAGTAGATCAGTCTTCATGATCCACTCAGACCTTGATTTTTTTATAGTGCTGCCCAAACATAGTGCCAATTGTGACAACTATAGTGATATGAGGGTGTTTCTTCATTAGGAATTGAACCAAAACCCCATCAAGATTATTTCACATGGATCTTGCCATCTGCTGGCCTTTCTGTGTTCCAAATACAAACCAGTAAACTAGAATGGAAAGACATGATTTCCCATTATCATTCTCTTCATACATTCATTTTCCCAAAATTGGATGTTTTGACTGGCCTGATTTTTCTTTGTTACAAGGTAGTGCTGGAGTTCGTACCTACACATGTTTAACCTAGTTCATCTCCCTTCCATGTGAAAAGCTAGTCACATTGTTCAACTTAAGCTCAGTATGGAAAGAGTAACTATTCTGTTAGTAAGCACAGTCAAAATATTCAGCCTTGTTTCTGTAGGGACTGAGCATGTTACCACTCATTATTAGAGCAGCTAAGCAACCCAAGCTGGCATCAGATCAGAAACCCATGCAAGAGTGGAATCTCAGATGGCTCTGACTTACATCAAAAATATCCAGTGATGCCAACTGATGTTCATATATTTGGTCTATGCTTGATGGATTTTTTATTTTTCCCCTTCACTTGGCAGGTTCAAATTGTGTGAAAATTTAGATTAGCTGTTTATGTAGAACAGTTGAACTCACATTACCTGGAATGACTATCTTTGGGAGCCCACTGCTGTTTATGTGCAGGCCTCTTCCTTTTCTCAGAGATGTAATTTATCTTCTGACTTCATGTCTGTCCATTCTCTAGTCTACCTATTCTATGACCCTTCCAAATTCTGGCTTTCTTCCCATATACATCTCCCTAATTGGTGAGGGTAGGGTTGTATCTTTCCCCCATCATCCTCTTTCTCATCATCCATGTTAAGGAATCACCCCCTTCTCAATTCACCTTATGCATTCTTACTCCCTTTAGCACTTGACTGTCTCTTTCCAAATGCCTCTGCAATTTTTCATTGAGAAAGTGACACAAAAATAACACTGATTGCATTGTGCAAGGAAACCATTCAGCAGTTAAGCATTCCACTGGCACCATGGAAATTTCAGTCTGCCTGCCCCTCCACATCATTTGCCTAACAGTAAATGAAATGGGCTTTGTGCTGGGTCACTGATTTGGTAATAGGGGCTTTGGGAACATGAAATGCTCACACATCACCTCTAATTTTCTCCATCTGTGAACTTTCAAGGGCTTCTGCAGTTCTTCTTCCAAAATTTTGCATCGAGTTTGTTCCTTTAACAGTTCCTTCTGCATATGATTAACCTCAAATCTGAAGACCAGCATAAAACAAAAAGAAAAATAACCCACTGAAACTATAACAGTGTGACCAAGGCACTAATATGAACATTAACAAATCATTCTTTCGTGCACTACAGTGCACAGGAAGCACTACATGGAAAACACAAAGAGTCACTTTGCCACTACAGCAACACTGTAGTGGCAAAAAAGTTGCAACATTGACATCACTAAACAGGTGGAATCATAAGGTAGACCTCTTCACTTGTTCTATCAAGAATGGCTCAGAAAAGGGACTCTTGGGGAATCTACTCCACAGCCTACTGGATCTCACTGTTCACATCTTCCCATTTACATTAAGGCCAGAAGGACTGTTAGCTCATCAACCTACAAAACAGTTATGGGTCATATCCAGTAACCCCTGTATTGAATCTAACAGTTTGTGTTCGAAAGAAGTTTTTAAATCTACTTGGCTAATACAATCTGTTATATAAAACACACTCTAGGGTCTAAGTAAGACGGACACCATTCCTTACAGAACTGAAGTTTGATTTCTTCTACTCTTACTACCTCTCCTCAAGGAATTTCAGGGGTGGCTTGTTGCTGAATTTAAAACTACTTGAGCACTACCAAGATTATTTGACAACTAGGCTTTTATGGTGGGGATAGGGGGTTGAGGAGCAGGGGGGAAAATGGCGCTTTTTGCAATGGTCTGACCCTGATCATTCTAGTGATTGGATCCTGTAAGTCCTCCAAGGTCAAAAGGAGGTGGGGAATCACGATGTGCCTGCCACTGAATCTTTTCCTGCTAAGCTCAGAGTTACATTTAGCTCAATAGAGAGTAAAATTCCTTTTTTTTAACTGTGAGGTTGGAAAAGGTTATGGAAGAAGAAAAAACATCTCCAATTGGCAAATCAAGAAAGCTAATTAGCAGCACAAGTGATATATGGAGTCTTTCGACAGGCAGTTTTCATGGTGGTTTTGGACTTCATTAAAGTATGTGATTGCTGCTGCAGTTAGGAAGAATTGATCTACCCATCATGGCATGCATCACACTACACTTCAATACCATCACTGAGTTTCAATACAGTAACAGACTTTCAGCTGAATGTATTTGGGCAGCAAGTTCAAATCCTATTCCTGTCTGCAGTCAGTCGATGAAAACTGCAATTGCTAATGTTGTGTGCCCAGTTCTCTTTTCTGTTTCACCAAATCAAACTGGCATAATTCCACTGGAGTCAATGGGACTGACCACGGACTGAAGTTAATTTGTTCTGCTGAAAGGCATGGAATTATACTGATAAGCTAAAGATCTAGCCCAAAACTGTGGTAGCTACATAGAATTGGAATGATGGTTATCTGCTAAAAACATAACTGCCTCTCTTTACAAACCAAAACTGATTCTACAGAAAATGACATTAGTTTACCATCAGGAAAGAATACACCTCTAATGGAGGAGGGTTAAAAAAAGAAATGAAGCATTAAGCCAGAGAAGGAGGAGATAAATCAGGCTTAGGCTATTAAACTTGTGTTTTAAAGAAACACAACCTTCAATGAAAATTTAACTAAATCTTTCTAAGAGAGCATGCCTGCATATAAATCTGGAAGGAGAGAGCTCTGAAAGTGCAGGAGTTTGTCATAAATATGTCAAGTGTTCCCCATACCCTGTGGATTGCTTAAAAAAAAGGAGTTCCACTCATCTGAGCCTTGTACCACTGTACCACTGAGCAGCTCACTGAACTATGAACACCTTTTGTGCTGATTTCTGTCAGGTTTATTCTGTAGGCAGTAATTCACAGTACCAAGGGAAATATGGAAACTATTTCAACTCTGGCCAAGAGGTCTTCTTTCCTCCTTCCTATATTTTAATTTTCTTAATTGCTGATAAGTTGTTTTATAAATTTAATCCAGTTTGTGTTAGAGGTCAAACCAAACAACCTCCTTCTCCAAGGTATAATGCTTGTTGATACAAATCCTTACCATGCATAAAACATGTTTTCTGTCTCAAACATAAAATCATGGCTGCAGCCACTATGGAAATGTATTCCATCAGGTTTTCTACCTGAGCTCCTCCACATTAGCCGCACTCTTGCCAAGTATTCCCTTCTCACGCCGAAGTTTTTTGATCTCCAGCTTGAGAATTCGGATGTCCTCCACCCTCTGCCGGTACTCGCTCTCCCCCCTGTTCAGGATGGCCTGCTGGATTTTTATCTTTTCATAGAGCAGAGCCACTTCATCATTGCGACGAATAAGTTGGGTCGCCAGGGCATGTCTCTCACTGAGCACCTGTAAGGGCACAGGGCAGAGCAGTGAGCTCAGCTACAGTTCCTTCACGCCATCCCCAAGGATCATGACTACATTTGTATCAGTCAAAATCATGTGCATTAAGAGGTTTCACTGCTTTTAATAAAAGAAATATGGCAAGAACCTAATAGTATCCCCTATATGGGTTCAGCCACCTGAACAGTATATACTACGTATTTCGTTCACTTCAGTATTTTAACATTTTGGTTTCAAAGTACTATAAAGCTTTAGTAGTACCACGTTCACAGTAGTTGAGGATCTTCATCTTAAAAATACACTGGACAAATGAGGAAACAAAATGCAGGGTGTTTGAAAACTCAAATTAGAGATTCCTACCTTGTCAAATTCCTTCGTGTGCTTCAGCCTCTCTGCATCAGCTTCAGCAATGATATTTAGGAGTTTTCTCTCTTCTGCCTCCTGATTTTCTATGAATGTTTTGGTTTCCAGAGCCTGTCTTGTCATCTGAGCCACTTCAGCCTGATGGAGAGAAAGAATGCAGGTAAACTGTGCTTAGTAATAATTTCGCATTACACAAACCTACAATTAAGACTTAGGATTTTAAAAAATATTTCATACATTCTTTTAGCTTCCTGAGATGTACATATCTTGTTAGTTTTTGAGAACGAATCACCAAGACAAGCAGGCCCATAGAAGGGACAAGAAGACCCATAAAGAAATATTGTAAACACTATTTTAATATGATTGTATTATACACAATAGAAATTTGAAAGGATTTTTATCTATGACAGTGGTTCAAGTTGTAATTCAGGGATTCCTCATTTAATAAGTTTTTTAAAAAGTGTATAGGTCATATTTAGAAAACTTTTCAGGAGTTGTTATTCAAATTTTAAAGTCAGTCTGGGATGTGAGAAAGGATAGTTCACCTTGCTGAAAAGGGCAACAATCTACACTGTAGAATAAAAATCAACATCAACTCAGAAAAGGCTTCAGACTGGAATAACAGAATTGGTGGAGAAGATGGTAACCAGGCAGGGAACAGCAAAATTAAAGAGCTATAGCACTTTGCTTAGTGGATGTGCAGATGAAGAAGACTGGGAAAAGAAGGTTGTTCCGAAGTGAAGGAGCAGCAAAGTACTGCTAGAGTGACTGCACAGCACTAACAAACTAACACTGCCCAATCATTCTATCCCACTGTCACAAAATGTATAATTCAAGGCATGCATTTAGATAAAAACTAATAAGGTCTTGGATTATTAGAAGTTTCTATCATTGCTATGCAACTAGAGCCAAGGTGGAACTAGCTGACCACAGTCCATTTCCATAGATATGAAAACTTTCAAGCCTTGACTCAAAGACTTTGCCACAGCTCTGGCCCTTATAAAGGATGATGTTCAAGCTGCCTTTTGGGAACAAGCATCATTCAATGTTGAAAGAATTAGGCTGTGATATAGGCTGTGATAAAGGCTGCACCTGCAAAAACATCAATTTAAGACAGAAACAGTTCCATCATCATAATAAAATAGCTTGTTCCATTCTTATTTTCTTTAATAAAATTCTCATTTTCCCATATGTGTGAGACGTATCTCAGTGTTAGATATTCATCAGAATCCACCAGCTGAATGAAAATGCAAGCCACTTCACACTGAAATGCAATCAACACTGTGCAAAAGTTGTCTACAAATGTAAAACTGCTCATGCAGTACTGCTGGATAGTATTTTTTTTAATATATCAAAATTCTATGGTCTCCTTATGTCAGAAAAATATGAATTGTAAACAAGAAGTGGCATTAGATGTTGGCAGTAAACATTTATATAAACAAATCTCCTCACTGGAATGCACTAAGTTAAAATAAATCTGAACTGCCTTGTATAGTAAAGAACATAAATACTTTAAGCCACACAAAAGCCCAACAAGCTAACAGGATTTTCAGTTAGATTAAATATGCTGAAAACTACAGTAGGAGGGTCTGTGTACATTAGGTAAGAGAAAAGTAAATGAATAAACACAGTTACTGGCAAGGAGAAAAATGATCAGGTCTGAAATGGCTGTAAATCAGCACAGCTCACTTGAATTCAGTTTGGAGGCTTTGTACGAACTGAAGAACAGTCAGCAAGAAAGAATAATGGATATAGGACCTATACCAGTATCTCAAACCAAATTCAAACTAAATTCTTGTTTAGATTCTGAAATATTACTCTAAGTGAAGAGGTTTTTTTACTGGTATTAGAGGTCAAAAGAAAATATGAGTTTTACAAAAGTTATAACTGAACACAGAATGCTGAAATAACAAGGCAGAGGTTTTATATCCAGACTTCTAGAAAATGCTAACAAAAAAAATACACATAAACATCTACAAAAATATACAAAGCCTGACTTGCCAGCAGCTCAAATCTGGAGGGCCATAGATAGATTGTTTCCAACATTCAGATGCTCCGTCAAACCACTCTAATCTGCAAGCCTGTAAGAAGGCCAACTGAAGCCAAAAGATGGCTTTGTGCTGGCTTTAATGGAGCCTGGATCAAGTGTCCTCTGTTTCATTTACCATGATGACAGATTTTTAAGACCTTTATGCCATCTGAGATGAGCATAAATCCAGTGTCTGTATAATCTCATTCCTATGAATCCCAGTTCTCCATGATTTAGCACATTCTTTAAACTTATTTCCAGGAGCAGCTTGCTTACTTCCTTCACATCAGCACAATCAGGACGAAGGGAGGCTGGCTTGCAACACAAATAATTGTTTTCTTTTGTGCCAATAAGCTCCCTCTGAATTCTCTTCTGTTTTAGTATTCAGCAGTGGCACTCAGGTAAGAAGACCACAGTGCCCGGCAGCTAGTCAGCAATGTCATGTCAATGTATGGACAAACTTGCTAGTGAGTAATTGAGTGTGTAAACCATGTAGCAATCATATATTTGTCAAATAAATGGCAGACAGTTCTGAGGTGATGAGACAGAATTGGGGACTAGTTAAGGCAGAAAGCTGCACACAGGAAATGAGATGTTGTTTGACTTCTCCATCGCTGATAGAACAACTCTGAGACAGATCAGGTACAGGAACACAAATTCATCACCTTTTTACAAAGCCCCATTGACATCTTGTCATAACTGTAATGTGCTGAGAGGGGCTGAAAACTCAAGAAGTCATTGCAGCAAAGCAATAAAGTGACAAAAGAAAACATTGTGAAAAGTGACAGAGGACTTTCAGGTTTTTTGAGGGGTATTTTTTTCCCCTGGTATTGTTTTTTTTCTCTAGTGCTTAGTGAAGATTAAAAATAAGCTTCTGTGGACACTAACTCCTTAAATCTTTCCAGAGCACAGCAAATTGGGTTGAGATATCACCACAAATCTAATAGCTTGTGTAAGGATGGGCTGCAGCCAGCACTTAGAAGAACCAGAGCTTCAAGCTCAGATTTCCTTTGATTTACAACAGATTCTTCCTGCTTTATATCACAATATTAAAATAACTTTCTGTGCAGGGGGACCTACTAAAAGGCACTGCCTAACTCTCAGAAGACTAATGCTTGCTAGTTACACAGAAATACAACATTGTGAAGTGTAATATAATGGGGGTTGCACTTAAAAACAGCAGAGAGAAAAGAAGTTTTTAAAAATAAGAAGTTGAATTACAAGGATCCATATTAAAAAGTTTGCTAGAATCAGGCTATCCTCAAAATCCACTTTTCTGAAAGCAAAATGGAACTTTTTAGTAAAAAATGTTCAGTCACCAAGAGATTTAAAGCTTCCAACAGACAGTTCAGGACTTTTTGATAATTATAGGCAGAGATTAAATCTGTCAGATACACAGAAGATTTGTGCAACTATTATCTCTAAAGTGTATTGAGGTCTTGAGCTTCAATTACAGAATAGTTTAGTAAAATACAACAAAACTACGACAGACCAGAACATAATGCAGTTCTGTGAAATCATGGCAACTCTCCTTTGTAGGAAGGTATATGTGTAAAGGGTCTTACTTTCAATGATTCCTTCTCCTCCTCTGAATGCTGATGATCTAGATGTGCTTTCTCAAGGGCTACATCTTTGTCTTTGAGCTCCTCCTTCAGCTGATCCAGCTGACGTGTTGAAGTTTTCAGTTTCATCTTCATATCCGCTATCTCATCCTAATAAACAGAAAGTGTGATCACAGAGAGGGTTAAAAAATGAGCTTATTTGTGATGGGGAGTTCAGGCTGTTTAGGTGTTGGAAAATGTAGCCACAGTGCAAGAGAGGAGACATGTTGTACGTACTACAAGACATCACTTTTTAATCCAACAGACCAAAACAGCTTCATTAAATGACAATTTTTTTATTATGCCAGCATGACACTGCAATAAAAAAGCCTTTAAAAGATACACTGACAAAAATAATGACCATCAATTATGAGTTTAATAAGCCGTTTAATTTAAAGTGCGGGACATACTATAAGAACAAGCAGTCAATCTGAATTATTACCATTCAATCATATCCATCTGTTTTCATGCTTCTAGTAATGTGTTTTTCAATGATGTTGTATGCAGTTGGGGACAAATCTTTGGAGAGAAGCTGGTTTTGTGCAAATGAACATACCCATCAATGAGATACCTATATGGCTTCAGGGGAGAACAGAAAATGCTTACCTCCATTTTGCCTATGTTCTGGCTTGCACATAGGTGCAAGGGGGAAAAAAGTTCTCAGAGTTTGAGAAGTCCCTGGTATGAGAATATTTATCATATTTTAAGCTCAAAACACAGCGTAAAAAGGCTGGTAGCAGTGAAGAGAGATCAGGTCAATAGGAATACTTCTACTCACAGCACAAAGGTGCCTGCCTGTAGAAAATTAACCATTTCATTTCATCACAGTGACAGTACATGTTATGACATGAAATGGAAGCTAACAAATTCAATGTTTAGACAGACATGCTTTTCTGGATCTAATGAAAGTAGCTTTAGAAGCTCACAGAGAAGACATGATAATCTTTCATGTGAATACATCCTCTTTCAGTGCAAAACAGGGTTTTCAAAGCTCAACACTGTCCACCATAGGTGTGGATTTACTTGACAAATGAGTGATGTTTTCTTGCATGAAGTGTTTAGCATAGCTAAGCAAGATCTTGAGTCACAGCAATCTTCACACAAACAGTACAGAGGAAGTGCTGACTAGTAGTAATTTGTCATTAGGCCCAACTGTGCATGTTCAGCCACTCTTGTGAATGCAAAAGTCTTATTAAAAGCTTATTAAAAGCTGTCTTTGCTACATAGCCTATAAATATCTTTACAGTTGTAAAAGATGACAGATTTAACATATAGTGCCCAGGCATATACCCAAATACATTCTCGATTAGTTATTTAATGAAGAACAGTAAGAGCACACAATTTTACAAGCTGGTCTTCTAGTCAGCTTGCTTAAAAAAATGAACTCCTAACACCAAAAGAAGCCCCAAGGATGAAAACACTGGGCATATCTCATATTAAAAGACTGCCAGTATGTTTTTTCCAGGAGATTTTACTGAGTTGAACGTTATAGTACTTTGGAGACCACCAGCAAGGTGGGCATAATGGGATCATTTCAAATTAAGCAATCTAAAAATACTTACAGCTAGCTTTATATAAACAAGCCTGTGCAAATTTGTTTTACTTCCCAAAAAGAAAAAGAATTTACCATAATGTTTAAAGCAACCCTCTTTTTTTTTCTTTCATGACTGGCTGACCTGTTACTGAACACTGAATGGCTGTTTTTCTCATTGCTACACATAATACTGGCATATTGCCTTGGCCAAAAGATCTTCTGGGGTCAGCCTTCTCACACAGGACTTGCTAAAAACGTTTTGCAGTATGCCAAGTAAGCTATTAAAGTCTAAACACTGGCCTCTGACAACTGGAACTGTGAACAACATAGTGTATACCACCATATAACACTCAAAACCAAAAAAAGCTGCTTCATTTTCTAACTCAGCACATAGTTGTCCTTCTTTATAAGTAAGCAAATTTATGTTCCATGTTTTAAAATAAAAACTATTTTTAAAAAATCAGCATTGCAATTCTTCGTCCTTATTTCTTCTGAGAGATTGTTTGGGAGCAGCAAGAATTCCAACACTGCATCCACTGATGAGAGGCTGATTAAGATCAAGCAACAACTCCCACATAAGTGGCAAAATGGTTCATTCCTCATAGAATTCAGTACACAGTTGGATAGGAACTTGGACAGTTCACTCCCATCTCCTTTTCAGGCAAAGCACCTACCCATTCAAACCTAAGTATAAATTTTTAATTTACTATATATGTTTATGTCATAAATCTTTAGTCAGAAATAACCCAGGGCTGTAAATATTTCACAGCTATCCAAGGTCCCAATCTCTGCCAATTACAATAGCATTTGTGTAATATTTTAGATCTTTACATCAGAATAACAGAATACATCCTTAACTGGTCTGTTCTAGTATTGTTATTGAGATCCCCAAGGAGGAGACATGAATGGAGAGAATCATTTCCCGAGGAAAATGACAGTCTCTGAGAGGATAAAGCAAGGTGGAAGCATTTGGTTCTTGTCAAAAAATTCCACTTCAGCTGAGAAAGTGTTCCTTCTGCTTTCTAAACCATTATTCACAATAATGTGCATACACATTCAGGGTTAAGGAGGCACTCTTATTCCCCTTGTACCCTATCTCACATACATGCATACAACTCCTAAAGGGATAAAACAGAGTGGAGCCAAAATGGCTTCATGATTCCGAAGCTCCATTGTACCACGATTTTGTGCATGGTTTGAAGTAGGGATATTGCCACATGATGACTGCTGACTTCTACTTCCAGTCCAAATACAGATGGTGTAGATAAAATGTCAGGGACCCAAAACATTCATTTCCCCAAAACCCACAGGGATGAGGAAACCACTTCTGCCATTGATCCACTGAGCTTTCCTTTCAACAAATTAACATTAAATCATCAAAAAAACCCAACAAGAGCAGAGAGAGAAACATGAGTACAAACATATCCTTCTACCTTAGCTTCAATCAAATTTTTACTGTACAGGCTCCTCTCTGCTCTCAGAGTTTCACAAATGTTTTGCTGCTGTTTTAATTTAATCATTTGCACTTGTACTTCTTTCTCGTAGTCGCAGATCTGTACTTGACATATTTCAAGATCTTTCATATGATGGAGGACCTGGTGCAGAAAGAAAGGAATTAACATGATTAAACCATCATCACAAGATTAGAAGGACAGGGCAAAGTTTGTGATTTTCTTCTAAGATGACAAGTTCAAATCCCTGTGATAAGCAGTTTCAGCTACAGCTAAAAATCACTTCAGTCCAAATACAAGTTTAACTTTTCGGGATTGCTTATGTGGGACAATATTCTATTTTAATCTGATATCTAGGTTTTGTTCAAGACTAAAACTTCCAGATGCGCACATATTTAATTTAAAAACAAGCTACTGAAAGAAAATATTGCCACTAAGCAGGTTCAATAAAAAATTATTAGTTTATTTATAAAGCAAACCTAGATTTTGTAAATTATGTTGTTTTGGATGTCAGTTGTATGATAAGACAAATACATGTATGTTTTTTCAAGAAGCCCTGTACGCACTCCTATATTCTAACAACCCATCTTTTTTTAAATGAACACATGATCACAAACTGCTGATGATCATAAACTGTTGATATATAATTACTGTAATAAGACACTCAGTTAATGTAACCTAGTCTAAATAAGAAGGTAACCACTATTAGTTGTTTCTATCACAGATTAGAAATAATTATGTAAAGATTATGTAAAAAGAATGAAGTATTGTAGACTATAGAAAGAAGGTGATCACATGCAGTATCAATAAACAAAAATATAAAATGTTATACACACTTTTATTTAACAGCTAGCACCATAATAATACATAATAATTATTATGTTAGAGGGACAAAAATACAAGTAGTTGCTAATCATTATGATGGGCTTCTAAATTATTTTTTTGAAACATAAGAACCTTTCTCCTGCTGTACCAAGCTGAAAACTGAGGAGCTCAAGCAAGCAGCATTCACACAGAATTCAGCATTACAATTAAATAAGATTAAAAGAAATAAAAAGAAAACTAAGGAGTACACACATCAAGAACAACTTATCGGGTTCACTAATTGGGAGGAGAAAACAATGCCATCCCTTAAGCTAAAAAAATATCAAGCATTAAAGTAAAAGCTGAGGAACCGCATGGACAAAATCCAGAAGAGAAGTCCATTTCCAGCTGCAGTTCATATCCCGTTCTCCTGACTCCGCTTGTGAAGGCAGCAGTTTGGGTTAAGATTCACGTTTATATATCCAAGGGGAAGAATAATAAAAAAAAAGGTTTGCATCAAATAGTCAATAACTGCAAAGTTTGCAGTGGACAGTGTTGTCTCTTGCTTAGCAGTAAAGCCTGTGAGGCCTGACCGTGGGGCAGGATTAAATAATTAAACATTCTATCAGGTACCTCCAACCGACTCTGAAGATAGGGGATAGCTAGACAAACACGAAAAATTTTATTACAGCAGCAGCAATACAATTCCAGCACATTGTAGCTGACTTCAGATGATCCCAGGAACTGCTTACAATGCAATACAAAAACACAGTCCTAGTTTATAACCTACTCCTGCCTTTTTCTTTTCTGTTGACACAAGCTGCCAATAGTAATAGCATGGAGAAGAAATCTATAAGGCGTGTTTTCTACCTGCACTATGGTGATCATAGGCTGGAGCAAGATTTGAAAGTAGGTCACTGCATTTGTAAGTGTTTTACTTGCGTTTGATATAAGTGAAATAAGACTATGGACAAAGTTTTCTGAGTTGTGCTCACTGGCTGGATGCTGACTGTGCTTATTCAGGAATTATTAAACCCAAATAATTCTTTCTTATAAATACAGAAAAGATACATGCAGTGTTTCACAAAACAGCCCCATGGGAGGCTGAACATCCTCAATTCCTATTTATTTGACAGCACACTCCACCTCAGATTTGGCAAGGAGGGCCCAAAGCTAACAGAAAGTATTAAGTATTCATAGTTTTCTCCTGTATCCTCATAGCTTTTTTATCTGTACACTTAACTATCATTTACTGCTGGTTACTGTTTAGTTCAATGAACCTACTCAATACCTCAGTAATGGTGCTGCACTTATTTGCTTACCCTTTTTTAAGCACTCTGAAAAATGCTGCCATGGCCTTAATGATATGCCCATTGAACATGAGGTTTTCCAAAAGATTATGTTAATTTTAAAAAGGAAATATATTTTTTTCAGTTTCCTGGATATGCTGTTAACTGTAAACTTAACATTTTAAAAGGCTTTATTTGAAGAAGAAACAACAATTAGAGAATGGTTTTGTGACCCCCTCGGAAGACACAGTCGGGGACACTTCAGATGAAACCAAAAGATATACTTCATTGCCTCCTTTTCAGCAGCCTATACCTTCCACAGAGAAACTAAGATTTCATAATTTAAGAATTTTAATTCAAAAAGGAAATATTCTACTAACGGTTGCAGCTCAGTAATACAGGCTACACAACAAAGAGCACTTGTGCTGGCTAATCTACAAGTAAGACTATTCAACAAGTGACACTGACTTAAAAATAGTACAAGTGAGCAGTCAGCCAAAGCAATAGATAGAAGAGGACGCTATGGATGAATCCTCACCCCTGAAATATTTTACTGTTGTGGATATAACTTTGCTGACTCTTCATCAGTTACTAGTAAATGATGATTTTGAAAGAGAAATTCTGCAGTTCTATAGATTCTGTCCTGCTATAAATAACCAGACAACTTTCAGAGCCAGCATGGGTAAATCTTTGGACTTGGATGGGTTTGGCTCTTTACTGCTCTTACACAATTCCAAAGATGTGCAGCAAGCTCCTGCAAAGCCAAGTTAGTGGTAAATGGTGATGAATGGACATTGACTGGCCACAGAGTTACTGCCCATCAGTAGCTCATTCCCCACCAGCTGTGAAATGACTCTCATAGTTTTGCCACGCTCAAGTTGCATAGATCAAAGAGCAAACTCAAATATTACCTAGTTGATATAATAATCCTGATCCTATGTCCTTCTTCTACCCTATGTTTTGACTTGAAGGACAAGACTATTGTCTCACATACTTCTGTGCTCATACTTCTGCTCCTCACCTGTAAGCTGAGTCAGGAATTTAGTGAGCCAAGTCCTTTGGAAGCTTGCAGTCACAATGCAGGCATCATTATATAAACAGCTCAAGTGTCATAAGCCATTTACTGAGCCTCTGCCTTATAAGAAGTGACAGAAAATTTGCAACCAAAGTGGCAGGGGAAGAAAAGACAAAGTAAATAAGCAAACATTTGCCATTTTCACCCTCAAAATATTGTGGACAACCCTAACCAGAGCTACAAGAAAGAGCCTTGTAGTTCTGAGTGTTATGAATTACTCTCTGGCCCTAGTTTACAACGTTCCTAACTCATATCTATCCTGTTAGAAATGCACCATGAGGGAAAGATGCAAAATATGATTTTGCAACAAAGACAAATCTCACTTTCATGGAATACTATTTCCAAGGAAATGATGAGGTATTCCAGGCAATGGAGCATATACCATTCAAAAATGATTTAAAAGCCCCTAGTCACCTGAAGCTGGAAAGGATAACTTTAAAGTGGAAAGATAGCAAATAACTTGTGAGTTGAAACCACTTGAAAGCTAATCCCAGTAAATCAATTAGCTTCTTGGAGGGCTCTTCAATGTGATAGCAATTAATGGAAGAGGTTAAAATCATGTTTCTGAGTTTACTCCATCAGGAATAAATTTATACATAATAATGAGCAGCAGGCAACACAAATTTTATGCAGTGTTTCTCTGCAGTTGCTCCTGGAAAACTTGTATTTTGCAGAGTAGCTTGAACATGTTGAGATATTTTCACATACTTGGAGTAATCCTTCAAAATGCTAAGCCTCTTACAAAGATGTTGAGCACTGGCCTCAATTTTAGGACACTGGTAGTATGTAAAACAAGGTCCTTTGCAGATAAGACAGGACAATCAAAGAGTAATTGAGTTTTGAGAGTAGGACAGGAAAAAAACACTTGCACAAATAGCTGTTCCTACCTTCTCTTTGAGCTCACTGGTTTCATTGATGAAGCCATCTCTCTCCTTTTCCAATTGGTAAATAATCTTCCTTTGTTTCTGAGCTTCAATCTTATAATTTTGTATTTCTGCTTCCAAGTTCTGTTTTGACTGTTCATGGAGCTTCACCAAATTTATCTGCTTCTGAGTGGCATTTGTAGCCTTGATCAAGTTCTACAGAGAACAAAAAATAATGACTCTTGAGCTGAAAAGGCAATACTGTCACCACTATGACAAAAGCATGCCATTGTCAAAGTGGATTATGGACTTTCCAATGTTATTATCCGTTATCTAATTTGTTCAGTTGAAATACTTGAGCCTCAAATCTGATTTAAAAAACAAAATCTCTAGCACAGCTGCTAAATAGAGCTTTTTCTGATTTGCAGTTAAAACACTAGTGTCTGTTACAAGAAAAATTGATAGGATTGTTTACAAGTGGATATAACTAATGACCAGAAAAACCTTACCAGTTTTAAGGCATTCTGAATGCAAAGCATGCCAATAGCCATTAAATTAATAATAAAGCCAAATACTCTTCCTTCTCATGTATTAAATAGAAACGTCAAGGCAGAAAATAACTAAGCTTATCTTAAAATTATGCATAATGATTAAACAGAAAATATCGAGATATCATCTTTACAAAATCAGACTTCTGGTCTGACTTTAAACTTTCTTTCCCTATACAAAACAAGTATTTGTTACCTGCCAAATCTGAGCCTCTGCTATAGTCAAGACACAGGACAATGAACCTACACCAAATAAAGCACCTCAGAAATCATCTTTTGGCATTGAATTTAGTAGATTACACTTCAGGAATGCCCATAAACATGAGATGCTATCCTGCAGTACAAGAACCTTGGGCTGATAGGAAATGATCAGTGTGAGAAATGGACTTAAAAGCAAGGACTAGTACCAACATACCCTGACAAACTGCTACGTGGTGTAGCAGTTTGGTTTCTTTGGTTTCTTCCTTTACTAGCAAAGACTTAGTTTGCCTAGATTGATATCAAACTTCAAATGCTACAGAGTGCAAAAACACACTCTTTGGATGCAATGAACTCTTTGGATACCAAATAATGGGTTTGCAGTAAAGGTGAGCACATGTCATATTTTTTAAGTACTCGATGGTTTATATGTTTATATGTTAAAACTTAGAAATTTTCTGTGTGTTTACAGATACCACTACTATTTCAATGCACAGAAAAGAAGCAGTATGTGCAACTGCTAACAGAAATCTGAATAATAACTTAACGTTATGTCTTCCACAACATTTCTGTGGTGTTGTGAGTGTTTAAACTAAAGGTATTTTATTATCAAGCTATGAGGTTTATCAGTGCTACTAATACACACTCACCTGGTTTAGCATATCCCTTTCCCTCATAAGCCCATCTGTAGCTCTCTTGTCAATCTCTGACTGCTTTTTGGCTGATTCTAACTCTAGAGAAAAAGAGGAAAGAGAATAAATCCTGGGTTCAAAGTGTACAGCTGCTAAAAATGCAGAAACAACTCAGTGGACTTCTTTAAAAGCCTTGACTATGAACAGCTCTATGAGCTGTGAACATATTTTACAACCCTAGGTATCAGCTAATGATGTTAATACATATTTGGGTATCTAGAAAACTTATTAAAACTCAAAAGACAGACCCACCCATCTGTTAGGCACCTACCTTTCTCCAGTCTGGATATTTGATTTTTTAGCATGCCTTTTTCATTTTCTGCATCAACTTTTTGTTCCTCTGCAGCACGCAGCTTATTCTGGATAACATCTCTCGTTTTGTTCAGCTTTGAAATTTCAAGGCGCATCTGAGTTGCTTCATCTTCTCTCTCCTACAGAACAGCAACAAGGAGGGGGGAGAGAAAGCATCCATAGAAAGAAAGAAGAAAATGCTTTTGCACTTGGTATATATTTATTTCACAAAATTCAGGAAGTAAGCATATAAATGCTGTGAGTCACCTGCAAGAAGATAATTAGCTAATTGGACAATACTAAAAAAATTTTAAACAAAGCCAGCTAGGGAAAGGAAAATGATAATCCAATCTTACACTTAAGGGCTGAAGATGATCAATATAGAATCCCCAGCTAATCCCCAGCAAACCTCACACAGCACTACCCAATTAGTCCTGCAGACTAACTCCAGGCAGCTCTAATTTCCTTTGAAGTAATAGGCACAGTGACTGTGATAAGAAAGATATCTGTAGTGTGGTCTGACTGCATGTCCCTAAGTAGCAGGTGCACGTTATTCCCATCTCCTTTATAACCTATGTTTTTAAAGAAGAAGCAAAACATAGAGTTCATCTCATATGCTACACAACAGAGATAAAAATAATCAATCAAAACCCTGCATAACTGGTTACCAGGAAACACATCCAATAATCACAACAGGAATCAGTCTTTTTGCTTTTAAGAAGTAAATATAACTTCCTTGTATAATTCAGTGCCACTGTTGGGTTTTACAGCCATCACAGCCTATAGTGTTCCACTTACAGCCTCAGATACTGATTCTGTGAGATGGGGAATCCTGGTATGAAAGTATCCTCTGGGAGGATGTGAATCTCTTCAGTTTTTACTGACAATAACCTTCAAGAGATTTAAGAGTACCCTCACAGTTCATGTTGCCCAACACCACAGTGGAGGCATTCAGCACACTGCAGGATGAAACTGCAAACACAGTCCCTACAAAAACTGCATCTCACATCAGGACTAGGGCTCTCAGAAGCTTTAGCAATTGGCTTAGCTACTAACTGGGCAGTAGCTTCTATTTTTTTGTTCCCAGAAGTCCACGGGCATGACTTAAAAAGTTCCATCAACTTTTCTTGAAATCAGGATAAGATCATAGAATCAAAATCCTTTGACATTCTAGAGCCCCAAATGTAAGTCTCATTTGAGCACATTGTTTGTAAAGTTCTAAACAATTATGGTATTGGTAGAAGTAATGATAAAACTGCATAGCCCAGAAAAGACAGTAATTTTTTTTTCAAATAGGTAAGAAAAATATCCTTCAGTTTGCCTAATAAAATACAAGAGAAAACAAGCCATCCTCCATTTAAGATCCAAATCAGAGTCATCTGTGTTATATTAGTTATGAACTGAGCTTTTAATCTGTCAGTGGTTAGTTCATCATTCTGACTAAAAAGCTCTATTGGCAAACAAACTTTTTATGTAGGTGAATTCGTTATACTTGACTAAGACTCAATAAGAAATTATTTTCTACCTGGCTTTTCTCATGTTTAGTGTTTTAACCACAGTGATGATACATAATGCAAGATATGGTAGATAGATACACTTCCTTTTATCACAAGAGCTCTCAAAGTACCCTAAAAAGCACATGCAGGAATCATTTAATCCTTTTTCAACTGAAACTCACCTGCTTCTGAGTTCTATGAAATGACTGTTAAATAATGGGAAGTAAGGGAAGAAAACCATTTAGATCTGAAAGTAAACACCATCTTGGTTACTTATATTTAATTTCCTCTACTGTGGGAAGGGAAAATTTTAGTGTTGAAAGCAATTCCCTTCAGTGGAAGCCATCCAGAACACCTTCATTATAATATATTGACATTTTTCAATGGGTTTTGGCAAAATTCAGATTAGGTTAATCACTGTAAGAAAGTCACTGCTCTTATTTGAAAATCTCACAGTCGAACCTTATATTTGTCAAAAGGGTGACATGCCCTTTATGAACACAGTGTGTTGAGCATTTTGGTTTATGTGTTTTATGAAACACAGTGCCTCCAGCATTACTGGCCCTACACTGTCAGGTGAGATGCCTGGAAACTACCATGACCATGGTACTGCCATAGAAAGAATGGCACTAATTGTCAGGCACATCTACTCCTAAAAACTCCTCAGATTTCCTCCAAAACTGCCCATAAGGACAAGAACTGAAGTCATCCCTGTCCCCATCCATGGTAAGACTGTCATGGAAGTGATGCAGCTGATAGGATGGAGGTACCTTCTGGTACTTACCTTTAGTTGTGTTGTCTTCTGGCTGACATCCTTCATCACCTCATCAAACATCGCACTGTGCTGTTCATTTTCTTGCATGAGCTTCTGATTTTTCATCTTAAGTTGCTCAAGTTCCTTACTAGCTTTTTCATTCAAGTTCTGTTAGATTAAAGAACAATCCTATTAATTCTTTTAAATCTCATTACAATATCTGCATATACATGAAGACAGAACCTTCCATCTTCCCTGGAGATAAAAGCTGTTACAGATTGTTGTCTGCTTAAAAACCATTCTTCACTGCTGATGAAATTACTAATGTGAAATATGATACATGTTCACATTGACTAGGGGAAATTATCATTTTTAATGAATAACACATTCAGTATCTTTTTTTTTTTCTGGAAGCTTAGCAGGTCTCTATTGCAAGCGATAGATAAATATTTTACTTCTTATTAGGCATTTGGCAACCATCACGTAACACAACTTGCTACATATAATTACTGCAAAAGAGTATGAGATTCAAATTACTTCAATCATCAGAGGGCAGGGGACCTCTGTTTTATGAGCAAGCATCCTACATTAATATGCTGATAACATTTCTCTGGCTACATGGTTTGCTGAGACCAGGACACAAGTATTTTCCTCTTTAATTTGTCTTCAGTCAAACGTCTGGAACAGTGGTTTTGTGGTTTCTATAGAGAACATATTCTTCAATACTGGAGATACCAGTCTTTTCTTCTGCTTGATGGAACATCACTTGCAGATAGTACAGATACAAGTGAGGAAAGAACAACCATCATATTTTTCACTCCAATCATTAATGTGTGATAAACTGATGAAGCCGGTATGTATTATGCCCTTAAAAAAAAACAATAAAGGAGGAGAAGGAGAATCTAGTGTAAAAACAATGAATACTGTTTCTTGTGTTGTAAATGTCAGGATAACACTGTTTCAGTCAATCCTTTTTTGAGACTTGGACAGGGCTGGAATCAAGCTTATAGCAGCTGTATCAAACCACTATCACTGTCATGCAAGAACAGATATTTTATTAGAAACTTCATGGGAATAAGAGCAGGCATCACAGACAACTACAATTCAGCTGACAAACAATAACCCCATGACACTGCAATAGCTGTGTCCCTTTCTTTTGCAGATCTCTATCCTGACTCTTGCATAGTTGGGTAGCCTGTAGTTTGGACAGACTTCTAGGAAAAGACAATGCAGGGCCTCCACAGACACCTTCAAGCCAGCACAGGCAAATGCAGAAGTCTGGTTAATTAGCCCAGGCACAGCACTTTATGTGAACTGCTGGTTTCCAGGACAGTTTGGACAATTGAATGCCCCTAAAATCTGTGCTTTGAGTGGTTGAAAGGGACTATAAAAAGGGGGAAGAATGGAACAGAACGAGGAATTGTATATACAATGTGATTGTCATGGCAGATCATGGAGCTGCCCTCAAAAGCTGCATCAAATCAGTGATATTCAGAGAAATAATCAAGTCTTCTCTGTATCTCTTTATGTGAAGTATTTTACTAAGACTCTGTGTTGACAAAAAATTGGCACAGACCTCTTCACAATTTCAGGGACTAGAAGGGAAGAAAAAGCCATAAAAGTCATAAATTTACAAGATACACAAACTCACAAGGAAGTTTCCCTTGAGGTAGGACTGGTTTACAGGGATGAGATCTACCCTGCCATTTACTTAAATTGCTTCTCTGAGAGTTTCTCAAAGTCTGGGGGAAATGGGGAAATGGACTGAAAACCTGAAAATTCACACACTTGCAGAACACTATGTCAGGACATTTCCAGATAAAGTTTTTAGAAACAGAATGAGGAAAATCAATCAAAAAGGTTTATGAAGACAGTTCTCTGCCCTTTCACAAAACTCTACCGCAGGCTTGAAAGGTAGATAAAAAATATTGAGAAAAAGAAGAGAGAAGGGGATGGAGGTAAAATTTTTTACCAATGCCACTAGAGACAATCAATGGCAAAACTGGCAATACAGTCAGAAGTCCAGCCTGGCAGTCTTCTGTTACTATCACTAGATCATTCATGCTCTTCACGTCTCATTTGCTGTGATTTTTTTCAAGATGATCTCTAACAATACCATTGCAATCCACTACTGATTTCTGTGAGGAAATCTATCTGAAATTTGTCAGCAAGCTTTACATACTTATTTATTAGTAAATTAGTACTTATATAAAAACAAATATTTATTAAAATTTAATAACTTAAAATAATCTCCCTCCCTCTCCCTTCAGGAAAATCCATTTTCTACTTAATTAAACATATGACTCTATTCTTAGATCTGATGAATACAGTGTGCCATGTACCCTACCTTCTGCTCTCTAAGATGAACCTCCATTTTCAGTTGTTCCTCTTTGTTTCTCTCTATTTGCTGCTGTAAGTTCTGGATCTCATCTTGCTTTTTATCCATTTCAGCTAGAAGATTTGTCAGCTCAATCTCCATTTTTTCCTTCTTTCGAGCCTCTCGTAGTTCCTCATTCTGACGCAGCTGGATGTCTTGCTGAAGCTATATAATAATAGAGAAAACCATTTTAAGTTCTTCTGCCTGTGACTCAGGAAAACAAGTCCTCTCACCACTCTTACTATGCTTGATTTTGGAAACAACAGCTTCTGTATTACTGTACCCACTACTACACGGAATATGCCAGATCTCCTCAGAAATAATTATGTTCTCTAATGGTTGAACAAAAAATCCTGCATGAGGGAACCTATTTATTGATGACAAGAACTTGTTAAGCACCAGTCAGTTCACCCACACGGCAGGGTCTGATACAGTTCAGACATAGAAGTATTCCTCTGGAGATTCAGTGGCACTAATGTCTTTTCTGTTATAGGTGTTACTTTCTGAATGCAGCATTAAAATTAATGAGGGTTTGATGTTGTATTGCAAGGATTTTTACTTTTCTATCTCACCAGCAGAAACACTTATTACACTGATATTAAAGGAAAGAGAGACATGTCAGACCAGTGCTCATTTTCACAATTGATCTCAATGTTTCTGCTCTCAAAGTTCCTCTGTGGGAACTTTAAAAGAGGAGCTTTTTCTCACATTTAATAGACTGTCTTGTGACTTCTGCTCTCTCCCTCCCCAAAAATGTGATGGAGCAGAATCAGCAGAGAAGACACACAGGGGGCTGATCCAAATGGAAATACTCAAGTTCAGCAAGGACCAGTGATTGAAATATGTTCTTTGCTTAAGGATTCCTCCCCTCTGAGCTCACAGAGGAAAAGTTACCAGAACTGACAGGGTCTTCAACAGGATCTTCAAAAGGACATTGTCATCTAAGCAGTCTGAAGGGGAGAATAATTCCATACTGGGAGAATGGGAGGTGATTACAAATGCTGCAACAATCCTGTAAATTTAAGGGCTGATGAAGTGAGTATCAGAAGATTAAGGCTGACAAGATTCAACAGGTTGTGACAGGAGTTTCAATCCTCTCTCTTTTCTCCCATGTCCAAAATGCTGTCAAGAAAACACAGATTTTATATTCTTTTCTAATACATCCCCATTCATCCACTTTAGAAACAGAAACAAGTTCTGGGCATGAAACCTAGACTGATCATTACTTTCTTATTTGTGATTAATAAAAAACTGTAAGCCAAATGTTTTTGCTATCTCTTCTTTGTTCTTTGATTCTTTTCTGCTCCTCCTTTCTTCTGACGTCTTGTTCCAGCCCTTGCTTATATTCTGTTTTAAATTCTTTCATTCCTCATTATTATATTTTTATATTTGATGCATCAGAGTTCTGTATACCATCTTCCACCCTTTTCTACTTTCTCTCCATTCAATGGCTATTTTACAGATCCTCATCCTTCTGTATCTCTAGCTGCTATACACATTTAAAGGAAGCTATACATATTGATCACTAAAGAACAACTGTCTACTCAGATGGTCAGAAAAACAGAAAGCCTAACTTAAAGTCAAGATGGAATAAGACTGCTCTCCAGAGACACAGGTGGGGTGAAAAATTTCAGCTGAAGAACAGTAGGCCAGAATCAGTGTAAAGAAGAAAGGAGGAGCTCTCTAACCATTAGAAAAGTGAGGTTCTGGAAAAGTTTCCCAAATGGAGTAGTAGAGAAAATAACCTAATATTAAGTCAGAATTTGAAACAATCTTAAAAATTATGGTATTGCATCATATGGCAATCACTGCCAACAGCAAGGGTCTCCATTCCAGTCTATGTTCCAAGAAGCATAAGGATCTACAATCCAAAAACCACTGCACATCCCCAGTAAGAAAGATGACTCTGATTCAGGAAAAGCAACCTTGGCCTCATTCAGGGTATTGGGAAACTACAGAAGCAGCTGGTACATGACAATACACTTTGTAAAGGACACAGTGTGGAAGTACAGAAAAATCATTCACAACAGACTCCTTTCTGAGCACTCCTCATCTTTGAGATGTGAAAAAACAGGGACCATACTAGTCAATGGAGATAAATACAGGTGTGGAGAAAGGCTCAGGACAAAGCCTAAAAATTACTACCCAGTGATTGGTACAGACCTGCAGAACAGATTGCTCTGCCTCATTTTTTGCCTTCTCTGTTTCCTGCTGCTGCTCTGTGACTTCAGCAAGACTTTGACGTAACTTCACAACTTCTGACAACAGTTCATCTCGCTCCTTTGTTACCTCTTCTTGAAGTTCTAGCAGTTCCTCGACACTGGAAGGAAGAAAATAATAATCAGTGTCACAGGCCATTCCTGTTCTTCCTCCTATGCCAGAGCAAGACCCTTGTGAGAAACAAGAGTTTAAAAGTCATTTGTTTCATTTTAAACTCCTCTTGTATTGAGACTCTGGTGGTCAAGTGAATTATATGCTTTATCTACTGTGATACTCATCACCATCAACCAAGTCCAATAAATCACTCTTTCTTGTTATATCACATTCTCACGGGTATCAATAAAGCTTCAGTTTCCCAAAAAGGTAGCAGGAAACAAAATTCCCTCTTGTCTGCTCACTACAAAATTACTTAGGGACCAAAAATACCAGTGCCTCTGCAGTTCACCTGACTGGACACCTAATGAGGTCATGTCTTACAGGCACATAACGTAAGAATAAAACTGACTGTCTGTTTTGACACATTTACAATATGAAAGAAAGTCTAAGCCCTGTGGGTTCAAGCTCAACATAAAAAGCAGCCTTACAGTTCTAAAAGACAATAGGGTTTTCAGGGCTGAAATCCTGCAAAGGAGTTACCTCATCTCTTGGCCTTGTCCCTGGGCAGGGTATTTAAGCATGGAACTGAGGGCAATACAGAAAGAACTTCAAGAAGAAATTGTAAGTAGGCAGGTCTCAGCAGCCTGAGCAGAGCTGGAAACAGGAGTGAGGTGTTGGCAAAGTAATGGCTCCTGCCTCTTGCAAGAAAATGCAAACAGCAGCCACAGAGAGATGCCTTTAGGGAAAGTTACACAAGGGAAGACTGAATGACCAAGCCTTTAGGTCCAAAGAAATGTGTTAAAGAGGTTCAGAACATTTCAGGGACAAATGGTGAAAGAATGGACTTCTCATGGACCCAGGTGGTCTACTGCTGGCATGTTCCTTGGAGGGGAAGTGTTTGAGCACACTGAAGACCTTGCTCACAGACACAAGTTGCTTTTCTGCAGCCTGGATATACAGTGCATGAAGAGATGAGCATGCCCCATATATATCCCATATGTATAATACAAATAAATACCTTTAACTGTGTCAAGCCATAACCAGCAGGGCCAACCATCAGTAATTTCAACAGAAAGTGCACAGGTCACAGGGTCAATACACTTAATCTCATATTTGAGTTTACATTAATCTTACAGCAATAAGAAGAGTCTGAGGACCTGATACTACAAACAGTAGAATTTGGAGGGCTTCTGAGCAGCTTGAGGATGATTATTATTTGCACACTGTAGTGGTTAGAGTCTCCACCTCAGACTATGCCTCTCTATGCAAAAGTATTTGGTTTAAAAAAACCCAAACATAATCTTCAAAGTGTATACAAACAAGAACACAGACAGTGCTAATGCCTTATAACAAAGCTAGGAACAGAGAAGAAATCAACTCTCCCGCTTCCTTGACTTGACCTTGCTGCTGTAAAATGTGAAAATGTTGACAGTATCCTATTCTCTAAGACAAAGTATGCTGAAATGCTAGTCAGATAAAACAATATCACATATACTGAGAAAGTGCATAATATTGATTTTTATTTGATCTCTCAGTTTAATCCAATGCTGAATGAACTCACTCAGAGCCTGATTCTGTACTTGCTCACTGCATAAACACATGGACAAATAAATGTGTATTCATGAGAAAAGTAAAAGGCAGAAAAGATCTCTCTCTTTTTTAGTATCTTTGTAGGGTTTAAATGGCTTAATAATGGCAGAATGATAGAAAATCAAATTAGGTTTTCCCTCTTCCTGAGGAAAACTTACTTGTACTCCTGTCCAGCTCTTTCCTTCATTAAATTATTTAGGCGTGCGATTTCCTTTTGCAGTGAATGAATTGTTTCCTTTGTTTTCTGTTCCTTCTCATAGGCTGTATCCACCATTTTCCAGGACTTTTCAAGCTCCTAGGAACAAAATGGAAAACAATTACATAAATTATTTTGTGTTTAAAATTAACCACAAACTAAAAATTAATTGCCTTGCATTTTGGTTAGCTGAGAAAATAGGTTTTTGTGTCTTTTCATGCTTAGGTTCCCAATAGTTCCCTTAATTGGTTATCTTTTTTGGGGGTGAGGGCATAGCAAACATTTTGAGCCATTCAGGCTATGTCAGTTTACATCACAAAAGCTCTAATACATTTTATTTAACACACAGATCTGAGCATTATCAAATCTCACTCTACGAGGCTTTGATCATGTGAGTACCACTAATATCTAAAAATTTACTGAAAATTCAGTGCCCACAAAGGTACCACCTACTTAAATAGCTCATGTCTGTAAAAGTCTTACTAGCTGTTAGGACAGTGAACATCTAATTTGATTTGGATGAGAAAAAGATGTTACTTGACTTTTCTGTCTCTTTGTTCATCTTCATCTGTGAAGACGTAGCGTATTTTGATTTTAACTACATATTTAGACAAGCCACAACTCCTATGCCAAATTTCAGCACATGGAGTTACTTGAATGACAGATTTCTGTGCCTCTCACAAGTCTACGGTTTGATATCCGCAAACAGCATAGGGGAGGAGGGTTCACTTAATTTTTTAACTTCCCCTGCATTTCTCTCCCTTGGATCAGATCCTTATGAATCAAAAACAAGGCTTACTCCTTGCCAGGTTCAAACCAAGCTCCCACCACTTCTGGAATCCTGTGCTAAAAAAAAAGCATAGATTTAGAAAGCGACTGGACTGGAAGGAAAGTTCCCGAAGACTCAGTAAATAATGAAGACACCACTTTTGTCCCTGAGCTGCAAATCACAGCACGATGTTCCCTCTTTCACACTCTTTTGTCAGCTGGCTCCTAGTGGAGTTCTGGACTTGACAGATTTGTACAGATTTAGACCCCAAGTGTGGCTGTGCAGTTCTCCATTAGCTTCAGGGTCTCCCCAGGGAGAGCTAAACAGAAACAGCATTACATCAGGCCATGATATCCCTTTCAACTCCTGCTTGCATCATATGAAGTTGAGGCAGGGAAAAAATATTTTTAAAACCACCTCCACAATGAAGAAAATAAAATAATTTAATTTATATCAAATTGTTTACAGAATTATTTATTTTACTGAACATCTCTGATCCTACAAAAACCTCTATATAACATGAAACTCTAAATTATGACACCTATATTATGGTATGTTGTTAATATATTTATTGGACCATTAAAGACCAAATAAATGTAATATTTAGCTGTTTACTGCCTAAATTAAAAATTCAAGTTATCAAACCAGCAGAAGTAACAGGCTACCAGATTTTTCTGAAAAGATTATACAAAATAAAACATCTGCAGCCTCTTCAAACTGCAGAGGGAATATATTTTCATTTTATTTATTCAACTAGTTCAGCATATCCAAATTTGGGAAACCATCTGGAACTTAATGATCAGGAATGTTTGCTCTTCTTTTTTTTCCCCCCAATCTATTAATAAGAGTTAAATGGTGGGCTTTACTTGTTCAGAAATTCTGAAAGAAATTTTAGTCAATTAAATTCACTATCTACAAGCAGTATTTTCATTACTTAATAAATTACTTAGTTCAAAATTTAGTTTGAAAAATGTGCTTTTTCACTTAAGTATCAAGCATATTTAAATAGTTTTAAATACTAAAGTCAATTTGTCTTATACATTTTGAATTCTAATTTGCATTCAAATGCAGCAATGATCACACATAAAGGATTAAGTATAATCTAGTAAATAATACATTTATCATTGATTATTATCTTACATAAAAATGTTCAATTATGAAATTTAAATAAATGCATGCTAGACTGAAATAATGGCATGAAGACATAGTGCATCATGTTGTATAGCAGAGAAGCATAAAATATAACTGTAAATAAATATGTTTCAGATTTTTCAACCAATAAGAGGCAACCATCCTTTCCCTATAAAAACGCAAATTGAAAGTAAAATTAAAGCTGATTACTTAAATCAAAGCTTCCTGATGGCTGATTAGACTGTGATTAAAATTGGTGAATTAAATCATTACGATGGGAGTTATGGGGGATAGAACTGGGGAATAAAATCAATATGCTCTCTGAGAGGCTCTACTGGCTTCAGTGAGTATTTTGTTCTGGTATTTGCAAAAGTGATCCCCTGAAGTCAATAAGGCCATTCAGATAAGCAGTGATTTCAGGTCTCCCTAAGGTGTGCTTTTTGAACGTCATCTTACTTTTGATGTGCAAAACCAATTCTATTGAATTTGTATTGATAATACCAATATTTATCAACAAATTTAGGAAGCACAGGTAATGGCCCCATTATTAATCAAAATTTAAATACAAATTTGCTACAGACTTCAGCATCAGCAAAATTGGGTTTTGTTGTAGTTGCTTCTTCGTTGTGTCTTTTACTGTGAAAAGCAGATCAACAGATCCTTTAACTCCAAAAGTAAAGAGGAGGAAATTTGATGAAGGAAGCCTTCACTGAAAAAATATTCCCATTGTTACTCAGTGGAGAGGGGAACTGAAAGACTGCAAGTGTATCAGTAACACTGAGTAACTGCAGTACTCTGTTGGGTAACATGCTTGGCAGTCTGCTGCATAATTAAAGAATGAAGTACACTGAATATTTGCCGTTAGAATCATTCAAAAATTTTTGGAGAAGTACTGAACTCTGGAACTTGCCTTACTTTATTTTCATTAAATACCCCAAACATCAGTTTCATTGCTCAGAAACTGAGAATTAATGAAATGCTTTCTTAGTATATTGGATTGATATGCCTGGAAATTGAAAAGTTGGTAATTCCAAGCAGGGCAGTACAAGCTTCTATAAATTCCCCTTCTAGCATTCTTCCAGTGCAGACTCACAGATCAGTATCCCTACCCATGAAAAACAGAATTGTAGTTCCTTCTTGATTAGCTTGGCCCTTTGCTCCTTTGATAGGACTTTAAACAGCAGACTGTTATGTCCAGTTTATTAAAACTACAAAACAGAGCCCTGAACAACCACCAGACAATAGTTAACAGCTATTGATTATTACTGACCTGAGTCCCACCAGCCACTGATCTGTGTGGTTAACCCCTGCCCCAAACAAACCCCACTGATTAAAACCAGGCTTTCACATGGAGAAAAATTTTGCTTCTGTAACTTTTATTCATATATGAAACAGTGATCTAGAAGAGGAAGGCTGTGCTCCTGTTACCCTAATGACCCATCAAGTCACTGAGATTTAGGGCCTTAATTTGAAGAAACTATGCCATTTTTACAGGAACAGTACCATCAGGATTATTTTATCATTTATAAATAATTAAATTGTGGGACAGATTGTTTAATTTAGCACTGAAGAATATCATCTTGGCTACTTTAGCACTTCAACTTCTCTCAACATGTATCTTGTGAAACACTTTTTTTGAATATTAGTAAGATTGCAGTGAAATTCTAGAGCTGTAATAGAAATTCCCTTCAGAAAGGAGAATAACATGGAATATGAAGGGTATACCAAGAACATTTTAAATTATATCCAAATAATTTCTGAACATTTAAGAGAAAGACTAATTCTCATAACCAAACTGAAAAAGTATCAGTGCTGTATACTAGACTCACAGTAAGCCACTAGAATTGAAATGTCACATGTGCATTGCAAATAATTTCTAACAGGATCATATTGTCAAGCAGCTTTTTCATTAGAAAATCTCTTAATGGGTCCAAGAGTAGGCAGTATGGTGAAGCCATACCCTGTCTGAGCTTTAAATTAGCTGCTGAAGTTGGAAAGGCTCTTATTTGCCCAACACTTCTGCTCCTCAGTTTTATGATGTTACTAAGACAATGTCTCAGCTTGGGAACATCTTGAAGGATCACCTCTGCTACTGTTCACGTGCCGAGTATTGCCACGTAATAGCAGAAAGAAAATTAGAAGGATCATTGTGGTTCCTGACGCTCATCTACCAGATTTTGATCAGAAGCAGTTAACATCAACAAAATTTTCTACACGTTTCCTCCTCCTTGAGGAGGCTCTGAGCAGTACCATGGGTTTGCAAGCTGCAGCCATAGGATGACAGCGCTGCTATTTCTGTTTACTCTAAGTGTATTTTCTTCCTAATTCTAAGGACAAGAAACTTCATTTCAAAGAACTTCTATTTCTGTAGTGCTCATAAATCACTCTGGATTGCTACACTGAATTTATTTTACTGGAACAAAACACTTTAGTGTAAGGCACGGAGGCTTCTCAAGTAAATGCTAAATTAAATGCTGTCTAGGTATCACAGGCTAAGTCTTTAAACCATCAGAATGTGAGAAGTTCCAAATACAGACTTCTGATCATTTGGCAGCTTTAGGTTTCTGATGGTCAAAACTCACTGTAAGCCTAAAAAAACCATCATATATTTTCAGTGAGCCAAGCACTTTGATTTGACAGAGTTCAAATCAGTAATAATAAAGAACACATCCAAGTAAATTAATAAAATAACACTGAAATGCTACATAGGACTCCTTTTCAAAAACACTGTGAAACATTAATTTATATGAGTTGTCACTTCCCTGGCCTAAAATCCATATTTCAGCAAGAAGTAGATTTTTTCTGTTCTGGAAATAGTTAACATGCAAGAAGCCCTTCAAAAGTATTAATGAATTAACAAACTGTGTATTAAGTTGAAAATGCGCTATTTTACAGAGGGAAAGCTTAAACAAAATCTATTTGTGAGTATTTGAAAGCTGATGAAGTTGGTTTAGTGCAAATAAATGCAGAATTAGACTGAGACCTGTAAAAACACCAGGATGAGAAAACAAAGCAGTTTGTAGCAAAGCAGAGGTTAAACACCTGGAGATGCCAGCTCTATTTTTCATTCTTCAGCTAGTTCTCCACATAAAACAAAAGTGTTCTTGTAGGTGCTTTTCACATTATCATGTTTTTCATTAACAATTTCAGAACATATTTCATTTTATTCAAAACTTTACCGTCTTCAGTGATGATATAGTTTCCTCATCATCTTTAGAGAGCTTTGTGAGCACTGCTACTTTAGATGACTTCTCCACAAGCTCAGCACTCAGCTTCCTGCATTTGCCCATGAGATGCTTTTCATTTTCACGAGACTTCTTCATAACAGCAAGGAGCTTCTCATATTCCAAACGGAACTGTTCCAGAGCTTCATCTCTCTTAAGCAGACTGATGAATTCTTGGGAGTCTTTTTCCAGTGCTTCGAAGGCACTTTCTTCTAGATATGGTTTGTCAGACTTTTCCTGAGTGAAATAAGGTAATCAACAAATCGGAGGAATTCAACATCTCACTTATGACCCCAGAATATAAAAAAGTAATATACTGAGTGGGTAACAGCTACTAAGAAATCAGGACAAAATTTTCTGTAATAACAGTTCTTTTGCTAACATGATATGCATGTTGCAGGCTATTTTTCAAACACATCTCCCCTGATTTTACTGAAATAACCTGTGCTTTAACAGTCAGACTTCTTGTAATTGAGTCCCACAACTGCTTTAAAGATAAGTCTACAAAACACCATCACTGTGATAGCATTTGAATAATGCATCAACCATTGAGGAATTTTAGTATTTTAGTCTCAGGTCTGCCCAGTTCTCTTCCCTCTAAAGTTTGATTAGTTTATGCTTTCCATGCAAATAGTGCCAGTAAATCACTTGTCGACAAGTGTATCTGAAAGCTTCAGTAATGACAATGCAAGCCAGTCCTTCCTCTGCAGGAAATACTACTGTTAAATCTTTCACAGAGGACATATCTCAGAGGTGGTCTCACTTGGACAGGAAAGCAGCTCTCCTGTTAGCACAGCCATGGTGAGTCCCCCTCCCAAAAGACAGGTAATGAAATACACAGTTCCCACAACCATAAAAATTGCCCCTTATGACTTGAAATAAAGGTCAGGCCATGCAACACATTGAGGTAGAGAGACCAGTTCCATGTGCTCCTCCTCGCCAAGACTCTGGCTTGGGGTGTCTTCTTCTGTCAGAAACTTTAGTGGGAAAACCACAGCTAGCACAGAAGGGCAGTCTGCAGTGTGAGGCTGAAATTTAGTGCCTCCTCCCCTCAAGCCTGCTCTGGGACTCACAGGTTTCTTCTTATTTCATCCTCCTCTCCAAACCACAGAATCATAGAATCACAGAATGGTTTGGTTTGGAAGGGACCTCGAAGATCATCTCATTTCAACCCCCACGCCATGGGCAGGGACACCTTTCACTAGACCAGGTCGCTCAGAGCTCCATCCAGCCTGGAGCTGAACACTTCCAGGGATGGGGCATCCACATCTTCTCTGGGCAACCTATTCCAGTGCCTCACCGCCCTCACAATAAAGAATTTTCTCTTAATATCTAATCCAATAATCTAATCTAATATCTATCTAAACCCACTCACTTTCAGTTTGAATCCATTCCCCCTTGTCCTGTCACTCTATGCTCTTGTGTAAAGTCCCTCTCCAGCTTTCTTGTAGGCTCCCTTCAGCTACTTCAGTTTTGATCCTGTTTACGTTTGTGATCGTAAATAGAGTTGAGTGGCAATAAACGGGGCGGCAGGGGGCGAAATAACACCTACGATCTTAAATGTAGCAGCTGTTCCTAAGATACAAGTGCTGTTACTGCCTACGTACAAGTAGGCTAATTGCTCTTGCTTTCAACGCAGGACATAACTGAGCTCTGCTCACACGGGTAACCCCTACACATAAACATGGCTTATGGATACAGATGATGCACAGGTGATGTTGTTGGGCTTATCCTGAGCTACAGCCTTCATCCTATCCAAACAAGGGGCGGGGAAGGGAGGAGGCAGAGGTTACAGGTTACCTCAGCCATGCTGCCGGCGGGCGGGGACAGCGAGGCTCGGGGCTGAGGGTCGGTGCCGATGGCTGTGGCTGTGGCTGTGGCGGTGGCGATTGCCATTGCCGATAGCCGGCCCGGGGCCCGGCTGGTTTTGCCGGTGGCTGTGGCGGTGCCGGTGGCTGGCGTGCCGGGGCTGTGGCGGTGCCGCGTGCGTTGTGCGATGCCGATGTGCCGGCCCGGGGCCCGGCGGTGCCGAGCCGCGGCTGAGCAGCGAACCTCGCGTCGTTCGTAGCAACGGGCGGCGGCTGCGGGCGGTGGCCGGGTCGGCCCCCGGGGCTGCTCCCCGGCCATGGCCCCGTCACCCCGCGCCCGAAGCGTGCATTTTCCTCCCAGGGCTGGCCATCTTGCTGTTGGAGTTCAGTCGGGGTTTTTTAACCAAGGACACCGAGCACTGTTTGCCCTCCTATTCGAAAGGCTCGGAGCTGCTCCCCGAGGCAGCAGGATGGAGCAGCTCAGTCAGAGAATTACAGAATTGTTGGGGCTGGAAGGGACTTTTGGAGATCATCCCGTCCAACCTCCCTGCCGTGACAGGGTCACCTGGAGCAGGTGACACAGGAACGTGTCCAGGTGGGTTTTGAATGTCTCCAGAGAGGGAAGCTCCACACCCTGCCTGGGCAGCGTGTCCCATTGCTCTGCCACCCTCAGTGTGCAGTTCTTCCTCATATTGAGGTGGAACTTCTTGTGTTTTAGTTTATGGCCATTGCTCCTCGTACTGTCACTGGACACCACCAAAAAGAGTCTGTCACCATCCTCTTGGCACCTGACTTTGAGATTTAGATGCACTGATGAGATCCCCTCTGTGTCTTCTCCACACTAAACAGACTCAGCTCCCACAGTCTTTCCTCATATGAGAGATCTCCAGACCCCTCATCGTCTTTGTGGCTTCCGCTGGACCCTTTCCAGTATCTCATTATCTTTCTTGTACTGAGTATGCTTGACACAGGGTCCTGTGAAAGGTGATAAACAGAGATTTGTGCAGTTTTGGGAGGACAAATCATAGAACCACAAAATGGTTTAAGTTGGAAGGGACCTTTAAAGTCATCTCGCTCCAACCTCCCTGCCATGGGCAGAGAATTCCACTAGACCAGGTTATTCAGAACACATCCAGTGTGTGTCCAAAAATTATATCCATTTATTGAGGCATTCCCACGAGCTTCCTGGTCCAGTTGGAGATGTCCCTGTTCATTCCAGAGGGGTTGGACTAGAAGACCTTTAAAGACCCTTTCCAATCCAAACTATTCTATGATTCTACTCTACGTTTTTCAAACTCCTGGTGATTTGTGTCCTGTTAGACTCTGTAAGGGTGACTGTTTAGGCTGGTCTTCATGATAACTTCCATTTGAGCTAAATTAATTCAAACTCTACAAGTTCACCCTCATGGTAGCTGCAACTCTAACTGCAGTGCAGACACAGTAGGGTGACTGTGTTAGGAGTCTGTGGTAACTCGTGCTAAAGCCCATTTTTGATAAGCCAGTCATCGTGCCTTAAAACAAGACTACTCGTAACACATAGTGGAACCATTAAGTTGGAACCAGGACAAGACTCAAATGGTCATATTGAATTCATTCCACAACAATTAATATTAACAACAGAATGCCTTGACAGCTTCGTGACCAAAGAGCTGCACTGACACTCAAGAGGACACTGGGGTTTCTGACCTTAGCAAGAATTTACTGTAACTTGGGACCAGCCACTTAAAATTAAATTCCTTATTGAGGTGGAAATAACCACATCTGCCATCCTGCAATGGTGCTGGACTGTCATGGTTATAAATGATGCCCTGGTGTCATAGAGAGAATCTCTAGACAGAGTGGAGCTCTTCAAGTGGGATCGCTTTTTAACACTCCCTTTTAAGCTGAGCCTATGTTCCCAGCTCTGCAAAAACCTTTTTGCCAGTAAGAGCAAAAACCTCAGACTGCCACAGAAAAAATAAAAAAAAAAATCAACTTAAATAAAAACAAATAAACTTAAATAAAAACAAATAAATCTCCGGTAATAGCAGGGACAAGCCAGACCTCGTAAGTTTCAGTTCATTGACAAGATTGTTATTTATTTCCCTATCTGACTTTGTTCAAGAGACACACATACTTTATAACTAAGTATAAATTATATATCTCCATATTCTTATGCTGGTAAATAAGCAGAATCACCTGTTTCACCAGCTGCATAAAAGAGAGTTTTGCATCAGTGGGGTGTGTTGGTGTGCATGCAGAAAGGGTTACTAGAGAAGAAATGTTTTCTCACTCATTTATTTGAGGTCACAACCCTCATGCAGTTAATTTAATGCATGTTTCAAACTGTAGTGGCATGAAAATGATAAGCCATCACTTCCTGAATGTAAGGATTTATGAGCTACTGCAGAGATATAAATAAATAGAGTAAAATCTCATCATAAGATGACCCAGGAGAATGTAAGCCATTTGGGGCAGGGACCATGACAGTACATGTCTTGTGGAAAGCATAAAAGGAACCTTATGGGCACTGGAAGGTAAGGATAAGGAGAATTGATAAGGAAAGCCCGGCAGCAGGATTTGGAGTGTTTCCTCCCACATCCGCTGCTGTGAGGAGACGTCAGGAGGCGGCAGCACCGCACCACCACCGTGATCGCTGAACTGCCCCGCACAGCTGCTCCCAACCCCGGCCGAGAGACGCCTTACAAACCTTAATTATTACATGGAGATACAACGGTGGGGTGAACATGTGCTCATGGATCAGGTTCTGCATTTGAATACAGTTTTGCTCAGTTTACTCAGATAATATTATTAATGGGAGATTACCTCTAAGGAAAGGAAAATTTATCTACCGATTTACTAATTAAAATATTGTTTTATATATATTACAAATACGTTACATAAATATCACTTAATCTAACTGCAAGTCTTGTAATTTTCCCAGCGATATGGAAATCCATCAGAACCTCGTGGCCTCAGTGACACTGCAGACACAGTCTGTGGGCTGACATCCTGGGACATACCCTGGGAGCCAGATTGCCTTCTCAGAGTTACATCAGTTTTGCAGCATTAAAAGGAACAAACTTCTTTTTCTCCAGTGACAAGGAAACACTTGTGGTCCTTGATTACTTACTAGCTGATATTTTTACTATATTCTTTTTGAATGTCCTCTCCACCTGTTATTTTCAAACTTAATCATAGTTTTATAATGTGAACAGTTGTTCAGTTTAAATTGGATTGAGACTTTCTGCTTTGTTCATAAAGATGATGCAACAGATCTCAAATAACAGAAACCTTTGATCACACTTGGCACTAGAGTTGAGCCACTGATCTCAAGAGAAGGAAACACTTCCATTTCCGTAAAAAGTTAAATCACATGAACGTTTCAATTAACAGAAACACCCAAGTAAAGAGGTTCATTAGTTCAGAGACAGAAGCTAAAGCTGACAAGTGGTCTGTGTATAATGTACAAATACATGCTCTACATAAAAAATTAAATAGATGACAGTTATGGAAAGTAAATAAAATTATTTCGATAATTCTGAAACTAAGATGAACTTGCTGTTCTCCATTATGGTTTGAAACTGCAGAACAGTTTTCCATCCCTGTTTTTCCTCCCAGTTCTGAAACTGGGATTACTATGGCCTGCCATGCTTATTAGAAAATTCCTCTCTTCTACCCTTCTCCAAACCAAACACAGGGATTCTCAGATCGCTGGAGGAAAGCAGTGCTCTGCAGATCACCATCACTGCCCACTGTGGGGTCTTACCACCACCAGTAGTATGGTTTATGCTACCAATCTGGCCTTCTTCCTACATATTTGGAGAAATGGTGTGGCAGAAGTGACCCCCACCCATCCTGGTTGCCCAGCAGCATTAATCCCTGGAGAGGCTATAAAGGAAAGCCTACAAGGTAACATAAACATACTTGGCCCTGCACCCTGCACAGGTTTCTTCAGTCCTCAATTTCCATTACCTGCTTACCAGTTCTTATCCATGGCTGTCTTCCCAATCATGAACATCTGGATCTATTTAAAAATTAGTTTCAAATATGTCTAGAATCATCATGTATTCATTAGCAGAAACAACTTCTACCCCATGCTTTCTAACAGCCTTTCGGTTCCAGCAGCAGAATCTCTTATTCCTATTCCTCTCACATTTTATTCTTCAGCCTTTTAATTCTCAGCCACCATATGTTCCCATAGATGAAAAACTGGTCTGGGATTTTTCACTATTTGACACTTGACTCCTCTGGGAGGAAGAGGCTATTAAAAAAAACTCTTTAATACTCAGAGAAGTCTGTAGAAATCACAGCAATAAAAGATGTTTATAAGGTCAAGTGTAGGGGGTAGATGAGGACACCATATGGTGAGCTGTGAGAAGGGGATCCTGTCTCCCTGCATATTTCCGTGCATGATAGCTACGAAGTGTGAAATGGTGGAAGAGAGTCCCCCTACCCCTTCTTGATCTGCTCATGCTTCTACTCTGCTGAGTCATGCTGAGCTGTGCTGCTGCAGATTCCTTTCGGTTTACACGAGGTGGGGCGTCAGCAAGGCCTGACAAGAGCAAGATTATCATCCCTGCTTTCTTTGTGTTTGAGTGTTAACATAATCCCTCCGTGTGCTCCAAACTAGCAGCTGTCTCCTGTTTTTTTTATTTAGTGCTCATAATGGTTTAAGGAAATATTGCTAGTTTTGTAATGAATTAGAAATACTACTGGAAAGAATAAAATAATTCCTCAATCTTCTAACATGTCTGAAAGCAGCTGAGAAAGATACCTAGAAATTAACTCTCAGCCCAAATCTTGCTCTTGTCCTGCACCTGCTGATGGGATCTTAGAGTTCATTTTAGAAATAATATTATTATATCTAATTTCTGCTGCAGTAGCAGCCACATCACAGAGCCACACGTTAAGTCCCAGTGTGCAAAGAACCATGATACTGTTACTCCAGTGCTCACAGCTTCAGGTCCTGCCCAGCATGTGAGTAAGGTTAGCGGAGCTTGGCTCATTATCAAATAAATTACTACCTTTAGCAAGATAATGATCTCAAACCTTCTGCAGTGCAGCAATACTCAACCAATGAATCATGTTCTA